TAGTGGGAATATGGATAGGGACATAAATTACAAGATGTGAGAAAAGTGCAACCAGAACCTCAAGAGAAGGTAAAAGAGAGGTGGCAGTCTGGTACACTCCAGCTGGCCACATGACAGGGTAAAGAAGAGGGAACCAATATCTCTGCTTTCAGGAGAACTCATTCCTCACTGAGAAGTAGGTTGATGTCATGTTTCCAGTATCAGCCATTTGAACCATTGTTGTATGTTCTGTTTGGTTTTGGGTGTATGCATAGATCTGTAGTTAAAATATTTCAAGAAGTGGCTGAAGGGACTTTCCATAGAGTTCACCTAGGAGCAAAGACCAACCATAAAAAATATCACCTTGTTAAGTTTTGTTTTGTTTTGTTTTTTTAACAGAAGACTGTGGGCATGTGGAAATGAATGTTTATTGCAATCTTAATCAACAGAAGGCTGGGCTGAATACCTACTAGAAGACTGAGATCTCTCTTTGCTCTGCTGACCCATTTTCTCCTTGATCTGCTATTTTTCATTTGTTTCCTGCTATAAACCGTTGTCCAAAAATTTAAGAGCACCAAGTCCCTTCCTGAAAGGCCTTACATGTTAACATACCTATGCAGTTACTTTCAATGGGAATTCTGCATGTAGACTTAACATATTTTTGTAAGCTGCTTTGCATTTTGATTTGTTCTGATAATTACCATTCTAAACTTGGAGCATTCTTTTGATAAATGAAACTTTATGTGATTAAAATTTAGTGCTTGTAAAGTCTTGAATTTCAGCTGGAAACATGTTTTAATAGCTGTGCTCAAAAAAATTCCCTGAAAAGTAGATTTTTCTATTCAGAGTACTAATGAACCTTTAAACAGCAGTCTCTGACAGCCATGCTGAAGAATTTAGAGCTTGTGCATTTGGGTGACCAGAAATAATCAGATAGACTTGTGCTATTTTATTATTATTGGATGGGTTTGGATTGATTCATTTTTTGTCAGCAAATAATAATATTCCACATCAATTTTAATAAAGCCTCAGCACTGCCGCCTAATCTTCTACCTTTTAAGAACAGCTCTCAATGAATCTGCACCAAATTTTTAACTGTTTTTTAATCCACTTGATGTGGATCCAAGGGGCCACATTCTGATCTCAGTAACACTAGTGTAAATCCCGGGTAACTTGACTGACATCAATAGAATTACTAGTCACTCAAAGCATGTATAGGTGTGCTCTGGGGTGGGATGGGGGGGTCATTAAAGTGCCTGGAATGTCAGTGTGGCAATGTATAGGTAGTGCCTGCCACTTTAAGAAGATCAGACAGGTTGTGGAGCAGTAGGCAGGTGGGTTCAGGCCCAATCAGGCAGTCACCTGACTGCAGGGGGATGCCTGGTTGGAGGAGGGCTGGGCAGGCAGAGTATAAGCCCAGACCCTGGGAGCAGGGCCGGCAGTTTAATCTGGGGAGCTGGAGGAGCAACTTCCTTCAGCCTGAAGACTGCAGCTCCCAAATTATCTGGAGATTAGGATGGGAACTGTGGGGATGGAGGAGGTTCCTTCTGGTCCTGGGTAAGGACCTGAATCTACACGCTGCTGGAGTTGGTTTGTGTTGGGGCTGCCCGTGGCAGGGCAGTCTCCAGGAAATGCTACATGTGTGCCACTCCAGTGAAAGGTGAGGATGGGGCACTGGAAAGCCTCAACCCCCCTGCCATGTGGGTCGCCTCGTAGAGGGGGCAAGGCTTGGGGCCAAGGTCAACCAGGAGGGACCTCGGGCCTAAGGAGTGAAAGGTCCAGAGAGTGAGTGTGTGACCCAGTAAGGGGGAGGAGTGAGTGTGTGGCCCAGAGACGGGTTGGAGTTGGCTCAGAGATGGGCCAAAGTATGGTCCAGTGAGGGGCTGGGGGGAGTGGTCCGGTGAGGGGCCAAGGTCCACCTAAAGGGACCTGAGGCCTACTTGGGCCAGAGACCGAGTGTGGCCCAGTAAGGGGCTGGGGGAGTAATAGTGGATTTGGATGCTATCTGCAAGGCATGGGACATGGTGTAGGGATGGTTCAGAGTCATGTCCAGTTTTGGGCTCCACAATTCAAAAAGGATGTGGAGAAGTTTGAGAGAGTCCAGAGAAGAGCCACACGCATGAGAGGTCAGGAAAACAGACCCTACGATGACAGGCTGAGAGCCATGGGGCTCTTTAGCCTGGAAAAGTGCAGGCTCAGGGGTGATCTGATGTCCACCTATAAGTTTATCAGGGGTGACCACCAGTATCTGGGGGAACGTTTGTTCACCAGAGCGCCCCAAGGGATGACGACTAGGTCGAATGGTCGTAAACTACTACAAGACCGTTTCAGGCTGGACATAAGGAAGAATTTCTTTACTGTCCGAGCCCCCAAGGTCTGGAACAGCCTGCCACCGGAGGTGGTTCAAGCGCCTACATTGAACACCTTCAAGAGCAAACTGGATGCTTATCTTGCTGGGATCCTATGACCCCAGCTGACTTCCTGCCCTTTGGGCGGGGGGCTGGACTCGATGATCTTCCGAGGTCCCTTCCAGCCCCAATGTCTATGAAATCTATTAATGTATTTGGCCCAATACACCAAGCCACAATTAGGGAAGCTTCTCGCATTTTTATCCATTTACATCAAGGCATGGCAGGTGGGTGAGGACAGACTGCCCTAGAACGGGAGGGAGAGGGGAGGAAGGGGCATCGATCTTGTCAGGTGCCCGGGACACCTTCGCTACAGTTAGCTGTATTAGCGTCTCTGTGCAGAAAAATGGTGGCGGGGGCACTTTAACTAAAGCTTGTCGAATGAGCTTTAGCTAAAGCGCCACCGCTGCCATTTTTCAGCACGGGGGTGAAATGATGCATGTGATGCTGGAGTCTTTTGGAGTGCAGTAATTACCACGCTCCAGCAGTCTCAATTAATTGGGTTTGCTCCGATGCGTTGTAATTACATGTCCTTAGATTCTGATCTTGATTTGAATCTCTCCCTGAGTAGATTGAATTT